ACACATTCTTGTCATTTTTGATATTGGTAACAGTCAGGAAAATTAGCGTCACTTTCCAGTACTTGCGTACATAGGAGCCTTGCCGGTTTTTGAAAAAGCACTCAATCTTAATATTTGGTGGCTCAGAGTGGCTGACTCAAGCAACACCAACATTCCTGACCAATTTCTTTGCCGTCCCAAAAATGTCCTTCCGTACTTCGCCAAATAAGTGATTCAACCCATCGACTACGCCTCTACCCACATCTACATCGAAAATCAATGTAGCCTGCTGCTGCTGTGTGAAGTCTAATGGCCGGCCGTCGATGTGAAAACGCTCGAGGAGGAGCGGACGACTACGAGAAGAAGAAGGAAATCGCTGCGGTTGCAGCGTGTGGCCGCCTGCTCATCAACATCACTACAGCTCACCACACTCCCTCTTTTCATCAGCTCATCGGCCATTCCGCAGGGCGGAGCTTCTCACACCTCCTTTTGATAGCAAAAAGAGCTGGAACTCACGCCGACGTCATGCGGCCTTTCAGCAGTTGCGCTTTTGTCTTTTTTATTGGAATGCAAAGATCGTTTGGAGTCGAACTTCCTGTTGCACCAAACGCCTCATGTTCTTGCAAGAAAAGTTTCATCCGTAGTTCCTATTCATATATTTACTCCGTTCAATTTAAGCTTAGCCTCTGCTTTCTGTTTTGAAATAGTTGACTTAATCGCTATGGGAACTGCTCGCTCTTTTACTTCTTCGGCTTCTCTTCGGAAACTGGCTGGAATTCCATCCACCTGGCTGTTTGCTTGGCCCCTAGCTTCTATAATTCGCAGTGTGAAGTTAGTGCTCATTTTTTGCATACATCAGCAGTCATCTTCAGAAAGAAAGTGCGTGCAAGGTTAGCACTTTCAGCCGGTACGAAAAGTGTGTACCTGGAGAAAGCGCTAAGCGTTCAAAGCTTGTCATTTTGAGCTTACTAATGAAAGGGACAAATTCGGGAAGCAGGCCGATTTTGATAATTCAGAACCATGTATGCCAACTATTTCGTTAACATAGTATTTTTCCTTGTCATTTCACCCTTCAAAATTCAGACTGAGGCGGCCTTCATCCTTCTCTATGGCCCACTTCCTCCCCCCACCTCCTTGCCTCCCCCCACCCCCACTCTCACAAACTGTCTAGCGATATTTTCCTGGAAGCATGACTTCACGCAAACAGTTATCCATCCAGCAGCAGTCGTTCGCAAATTTCGCAATCAGCCTTAAGCCTCCAACCCTGTCGGCGTTGAGAGATCGATTTTCTGTTTGAACTTTTTCAACCAACCCAAGAAATCGAATACGCCACCGCTTCACATCCACCACCCATCGAGGGTCACAGGATGTCCTGTGCTGACTCCCCCATGTCTCTTGGTCTAAAACCTTTTGGCAGGTTAATGCATCAACAAGGTGTGGGAGATTCAGGGATTTGGATGACCCTAATTATTTACGCAAGCAATTGCAAGGAAACCACGAAACATTCAAGGATTTATGGAAACACTGAACAAATGGGTGACTTTTGCGAAGTTTTCTAATCTGAGAACTCTCGTCGACAAAGGTAGGAATTTTATGTGCTGACTCTATAAAAGGGAGTTAGAGTATCAAATGAAAAACAAGACATCAGCTTGTCAATCCTTCCTTAGCTTCTATAGCTTTGTAGATAGTCAATGCATCATAACAGTCTGCAGTCACTTCTCGAAAATCGCTAGCGATTCGCAGAAGAGTTTCTCCCGGGCCTCTTCTTTTAGGACTCTACCGCAAGTTCGATAGCAATTTATGCTGGGACCAATCATTCACATTTATATCGGCTCCTATCAAATCGTGTCCCCATGAAATGAGGCAGGGACAGAGCAGAGTAATCCAATTTTGAATGTGCTACGCAATCGGCTCATAAGTAGCGCCCACGTAGACTGGAATGGAATGTGTGTTCATTTATCAATGCTGCCTCTTGGAGGCATGGTTGTACAAGTATGTGCTTGAAACTATCCAGCACTTTAGAGTTATTGAACAACTGAACGGGGCTCTGAGGAGACAGATAGCGGTCTAACTGACTCTACAAGTCATAAGAAGCTGGTGTGGGCTTGGCGAACCACGGCCCGCGACAACCTGAAGCCTCTACTATCTGCTGCCTTTCATGCAACGAGAACTTTTTCTTTAATTATTAATTAAAGTCGAGGTTGACAAAGACATATTGACACTGTCTTCTCACCTTGTTGTTGGTTTTCCCCAAACTAACTCCTTGAAGCTTCGACATATCACCACTACTCCTGTGATCAGGTTTCGCATTTGCATGACCTATACTTTTACTGGTTTTTTATTTCGCTCAATGATGTGTTGTAGTGGGCACGAAACAAGGGCAACCGTTCCTTCAGAAGACAAAAAACATGATCGGAAAGCAACAAAAAGGAAAAAGACCAAATGTCCAAATCAAACAAACCTGTATTTGAAACGCATCTCTAACTTTGCACATTCGACACAAATTCAACGAGGATTCTTTAAAAAATACGGCATGGGATTACTGACCATATAAATTATGTGAGTTAGTAGTCAGTTAGTAGATATACGAGCGTCAGGCCTAAGTTGACAGGCCAGCTGATGAAAACCCCAGTTCACAAAAACCATGTTTTTTAGAAGTCGCAAGAGAAGAAGAAGAGCAGTTAATGAGTAGTTAGTAAATAACAACGAATGATTGCACGTAGCATGCATCGCAACTGCAGGTCAGTCTGTGCAAACACTATCAATCAATGGGTTGTCCCCGAGCAGGGTCAACCGTCACGTTCGAACATTTTCGGGATTTTTGCGACCCCCCCTCTGGAAGGGGTCCAGTTGCGACCCCCACCAATACACAGTTGCGACCCCCCAATACAACCAGCCTTCCCCACCGCGACCTCCCTCTTCTATAGTATTTGATTCTGAGACCAGTTGACACAGCCCAAAACCTACCTAAAACTCCGAAACTCCGCCTACTTTTCCCCAAAAATAGCCGTCGAGCGGGGGGGGGGGGTATATACAACCACTGAAACGGCAACTTTTTTGCTTTTTTTCACACACACCTCTGCCCTGCCTGATGACCAAAGCGCGCGCAATGCGACCCCCTTTTCCCTCCCAGAGCCCAAATGCGACCCCCCCGTTCGAACTGTTCGAACGGACGGTTGACCCTGGCCCAGGATTCGAATCAAATTGTTTTGACCACCGTGAATCCGAGTTGTGAGACTCAGAGTCCAGTCTCTTCTTCTTCTCCCTAGCGTTAGTCCCGCGCAGTCGCAGGGTCCGCGTGAGACTCAGAGTCGAGCATGTCACAAAAAATACTTGTTGGCGAACATCTAAAGAGAACCAAATGATGGATATTGTCACGCAGTTTTCATCGGGGCGGCGGTCTTAAGAATGGAAACCCCTTTGCATTCAGGAAGGATGGTGGTGGTAAGAGTACGGCTTTAATTGAACTATAGAATGCGATTGGAAAATGCTATGAATGCTTGCGGTTAGATACATTTTACAATGAATATACCATGCAGAAGGCAATGAAGATCTCGGACTGCTGGTGAGATCACTGCCACTTGAGGGCAATGGAGGGGGTCCAAGGCGGTGTCTAATCACTCCTCCCCACTACCCTTCGTTCAACGACGTCATCAAAATCGCAAAGCCGTTTCGACATCCTGATCACTGCTTCCAACTAAATATATTGTTCAATTGTCGCCACGCCGGGCTAATCTCAGTTAATAATTTCGCCTTTCTTTATGGCGGTGTCCTGCTTCCTATTCTTATGACCATCATTCGATTTATGTGCGTTTCCTTTTTGTTAGTCTCACTTTTAAATTTGCTTTCGTTGCGTAAAACCTCGTACGTCGAAAAATCTTGCGGAACCTCCTAAAACTCACCAAAAAAGACCTCACTTTAGTAGTTCATTTGGAGCAAATAAAATGAACACCGCCCTCTGCCTCTCGTTGTCAGAGTCGAGCGTCATAGCGCAGATGAATGAAGTTAGCGGTTGGGCGGAATTCTGGAGAGAGGTAAGCAAACCAGCCCTTTTGGCGTTTCTGCTAGGGCCGTAACCTCAATGTTGGGAGGGAATGGGGTCCCCTACAGTCGACATACTACTTCATCTCGGGTCGTTACGGTAGGAGAGTGATGAAGAAGTGGTGCAGCTAGGTCTAGCAGCTTCGCCAAAAGGGCTGGTTTGCTTATCCCAGGACTAAGCCTTGGAGAGGAGCGAGAGAGCGCAGGTCCGCCCTCTCTTAAAGGCTTTGCCACTGAAGTGAGCCATCATTATTGACTGTTTTTAGAAGTCGCAAGAGAAGAAGAAGAGCAGTTAATGAGTAGTTAGTAAATAACAACGAATGATTACGGAGCATGCATGGGCAACTGCAGGTCAGTCTGTGCAAAACTATCAATCGATGTTGTCCCTGCAGGGTCAACCGTCACGTTCGAACATTTTCGGGATTTTTGCGACCCCCCCCTCTGGAGGGGTCCAGTTGCGACCCCCACCAATACACAATTTGCGACCCCCCAATACAACACCAGCCATCCCCCACCGCGACCTTCCCTCTTCTATAGTATTTGATTCTGAGACCAGTTGACACAGCCCAAAACCTACCTAAAACTCCGAAACTCCGCCTACTTTTCCCCAAAAATAGCCGTCGAAGCGGGGGGGGGGGAGGGTGCGGGGGGTTATAACCAACTGAAACGCACCTTTTTCACCGTTTTTTTTCACACACACCTCTGCCCTGCCCCTGATGACCAAAGTTCCAAAGCGCGCGCAATGCGCCCCCCTTTTCCCTCCCACAACCCAAATGCGACCCCCCGTTCGAACTGTTCGAACGGACGGTTGACCCTGTTCCCTAGGGTTGGTTCAAAGGGTGCCTTTTGAATCCACCTCGAATCCCTTGAGTTTGTGAAGACTGCAGAGTCGCAGTCTCCTCTTCTTCTCCGTTAGCGTTTAGTCCGCGCCAGTCGCAGGTCTATGCGTGAGACTCAGAGTCAGTATTCACATAAAATACCTTGTTTAGCGACCATTCTACAGAAACGAAAACGTGGGGGGGGGGGCGGGGGGGGGGGGGGAATGGATATTGTCAACCGCAGTTTTCATCGGGTTGCGCTCTATAGAAGAATGGAAAACCTCACTTTGGCATCCGGAGGGAATGGTGTGGAAGAGTACGCCCTCTTGAATAAAAGATGCGATGAAATGCTATGAAATAGCTTGCGGTTAAGATACATTTTACAATGAATATACCATGCAGAAGGCAATGAAGATCTCGGACTGCTGGTGAGATCACTGCCACTTGAAGGCAATGGAGGGGGTCCAAGGCGGGTCTAATCACTCCTCCCCACTACCCTTCGTTCAACGACGTCATCAAAATCGCAAAGCCGTTTCGACATCCTGATCACTGCTCCCAACTAAATATATTGTTCAATTGTCGCACGCCGGGCTAATCTCAGTTATAATTTCGCCTTTCTTTATGGCGGTGTCCTGCTTCCTATTCTTATGACCATCATTCGATTTATGTGCGTTTCCTTTTTGTTAGTCTCACTTTTAAATTTGCTTTCGTTGCGTGAAACCTCGTACGTCGAAAAATCTTGCGGAACCTCCTAAAACTCACCAAAAAACCTCACTTTAGTAGTTTCATTTGGAGCAAATAAAATGAACACAACCCTCTGCCTCTCGTTGTCAGAGTCGAGCTTCATAGCGCAGCATTATTAAGTAGCGTGGGCGGAATTCTGGAGAGAAGGTAAGCAAACAGCCCTTTTTGGCGTTTCTGCTGGGGCCGTAACCTGAATGTTGGGAAGGGAATGGGGTCCCCTACAGTCGACATACTACTTCATCTCGGTCGTTACGGTAGGAGAGTGATGAAGAAGTGGTGCAGCTAGGTCTAGCTGCTCCTCCAAAAGGCTGGTTTGCTTATCCCAGAACTAAGCCTTGGAGAGGGGCCGAGAGAGCGCAGGTCCGTCCTCTCTTTAAGGCTTAGTCCTGAGGTAAGCATCAAATTGAGGCGGTTTTAAGGACCGAGTTGAAGTGGTCCGTCGACCGTCGGGACCCCATCCCTTCCCCAACATTCAGCATACGGCCCCAGCAGAAACGCCAAAAGGGCTGGTTTGCTTACTTCTCTGGAGGCGGAGCCGCATTCGAGAAAGTCGTAGTTCCATAGGTCCTTCTTTAGTCGTTTCCGCCTTTCACCACGGAGATCGCTTGTGTCCCCTCTGTGTCCTCGCTTTCTACCGAGCATATTTATCTTAGCTAAATAGCCAAATTATCATACGCGCTGTTTAAATGATGTGTGCCGCGGGCTAAACTATGAGAAACTTGATGTTGTGGCTTCATTGTCACTCTTCCTTCTATGGAAATAACGCAGGAACAAACAACTCATTCAGTCATCGATTTGTTTTCTACGTGAGCATTCACAGCGCTGTTGTTTTCTCCTCCTTAAAAATTTCCGCATCACATCTCTCGCCTTCCATAAACCCTGTGCAGATCTGTGACTCGATTCACAGACACGACGCTCTGTGAAAGAACCAACGCCTACTTTTATGTGGGACAATGTTTGTTTGTCTCTTCTCCAAGTTCGACGCGTTTGTCAACGAGATCCGTCAAATTGTGTTGTTTGTCGATGACGAGTTCGGAAGCATGACCATTCCACGGGGATTTTCCTTTAGCACGTTTGTTAGGGAAGGCGGGGCTATTCCATGGATTGCGTGACAACGCCTCGTGCTTAACACCACGGCATTTCGCGAACAGCATGAAGCTGTCTGATGGCAGTTCGCCCACGACCAGTGGATCTCCCGCTACCACAACAACGACAGTGTGAAGGATTCTGCTGCTGTCGATTAAGGCAAAAGTGAACATGCGTGCACTTTTGTGTTCACTGGTCCATGCCCACAAATCCTTGTTCTTTGTTATTCGAACCTTTGGTGATGGATGGTACGGCAGAACCTTCGTCTGACTCGCTTCTACCCACGTGTACGATTTCGCTTCCTATGTAGCATTCGTCGTTTTCTCCTCGGCCTTGTTCTCACTGATGGGTTGTTTTGCTGTGTTCTGGTGACGCAGCATGGAAATAATTGCGCGACAGGGAGCTGCCCCCTCCCTCTCCGACATCTGTCAATCCTCGACACAATCTGTTTTGCTTTTACAATATTTACTCTTTCTACTACTTTTCTGAACTGTTTTTCACATGGTTTCACCCTCGCGCTTTCATTGACTCTCGCATATTTCGCCAACGTTGAACAAAATAGCACTTGATGAAGGCTGGGACTGCTTTGAGTACGCGCTCAAAGCTCCGTCTTGTAGCCGTACTCCGCCTAGTAGGTTTTAAACTACTATCGTACCGTGCTGTCCTTTTCGATGTATGGCAGCCAAGGCCTAAATGGTTGGAAATTAAGGGCCAGAGCACCTCGTTTCGCCATGTGTCACGTTGCCGTGCTCACTCATGAGGCCTCACGGATCCTATTTGCTTTTTAGGAACATTTGAATAGGTTCATCATAAACATTCCGCAGAATTCTATTCAAAAAGGGCAGCGCACTCGACGAAGCACTCGCTCTCGCAGTATTCTCGGCCCCTTTACTTCGCTCCTTTCTAACGTTTCTTTTTCGAGAGTTGTTCGAGAAGCGTACGCAAAATTCCGTTAGAGTAACACTGTGTGTTGGTTTCGTATGATGAATGTTTGATAGTGAAGTATCGCTATTGCAATAGACTAGAATGATAGTTTCCAGCAAGGGAACTGTTGAAATTGTTTTGGCAGCTCCTTGCTAGCAAATTGAAAGTTGCCTCATTCCGCCGTTGCAGATATTTAACTCTATTCAGCAAATTCAAAAGATGATACAGTCAAGGAACCATACAGAAAAACTTGAAAGAAGCGAAGAATCAATAGGTGCCTTTTATCAAGAAAAAGTATCGTTTTTAGGATGCTCAGAAAGTCACGGCAATCTTTCGAGCCGAAACATCAGGTCAGGTGGAAAGGTTCCAATTATTGATCTGTTTGGCGCGAAAGAATGAAAAAAGTGTCCATGAAAAAACCATTTACCGCTAAACTTCATTTTCTTCCACACGCATTTAGGTGACTTGTTTTTTAATCTCATAATAATTGTATACCATATATTTTAGTTAACACGTTGACGACCGCTCGTGTTCGCTGTCTGGCGTGTGGAACCGCGCGCATTATTTTGACCGCGCGAATGTGACATGATATCATGTCAC